AACAACATCTGAGATCTCTGTCCAGAAGAGTGCAGTCCTAGGAACAGCTAAGATACTGCACAGGACCCTCAAGCTCCCAGGCCTCTGGTAGAGCACCCGAGCTTGAAGGAAGGAATACAAGACCGCCCCAAAGTGGGGGGCGAGAGGGGGAATTTTTTTAAAATATATACATATATGTATGTATGTGTGTGCGTGTGTGCGTGTGTGTGTGTGTGTGTGTGTGTGTGTGTGTGTGTGTGTGTGTGTGTGTGTGTAATATACATTACAGTACACAGGTATAGTAGTGCTTTAAGAATGCATTACGATTCATCCTCTAGAAACCATGAATATACACCCACCATGACCTGCAGTGTAGGAGATGCTCTGACCCAGTCATCTCACCATCACAGTTTGGGCTTTGTCAGAGTCACTCAGATCCTTACACTTGCCCATTTTTCCTGCTTTCAGCACATCAACTTTGAGGACTGAATGTTCACTTGTTGCCTAATATATCCAACACACTGACAGGTGCCACTGTAACAGACAGTCAATGCTATTCACTTCACCTGCCAGGGGTCATAATGTTATGCCTGATTGTGTATCTACCAACTTGTATGCCAAACCCAATAACTGTTGGGATATTTCATTAAAAACAAAATGTGAATCTCATGGTGGTGCTAGAGGAAAAAACTGGAGGAACACCACAGTCAACAGTTCATCCTCTGGGAAACACAAATATCTCTACCAACGTTTGTGGTAATCCATCTGATATCTGTTGAGATATTCCAGTCTGGATCAAAGTGGCGGAGCAACTGGGTTAATCACTAGATCAACACTGTCATTACTTAGAGCCCAGTTGTTAGCATGGCAACGAAAGATATTTTTCTTATTTGCTTGTTTTATTATTGGTCAATGTGTTTGCTTTGTTTATTTAGCATATTTTTCGTCTCTAAACCACCCAGGTGAGGTCACCCTTTGCTCTGCTCTTTGCAGCAGTGTTAGAAAGACTAACAGGTCAGGTCAGCCTTTTAATCACACAGTAAGGTGATAGAATAAATGCAGCATCCTCAACACAACACAGTGTCTTAATCTTTCATCCTGTGACTTTGGAGGTACATCACACTTCGACCTAGCAGTGGTGTCACTCTGCTTTGGTTTGAGTCCAGAAGCACAGAGTAGCTGTTAACACCTGTTCCAGTTATTATACATTCTCTAGTGATACTTTACAAACATATGACTAATTTCATCTGATGAACTCATTTTTTTTGCATATGAGCCCTTACATACATCTACACCCATCTATCACATTAATTCTTTGAATTCAGTGACACAAAGTATTGTAGCAATCAGTAAGATTACTTGAATTGTAAAAGGGAGGAAGAGCAAGGCAATCTCCTGTTTCCATGGTGACAGTAAAATCTGATTTGTTTATGAGAGCCATTTATCTCTGCTGGATACACTGGACACCAGCTGCTAATAGCGAGGATGCTGACATGGCTGATGGTATGGAAAACGTTTCAGCACTGAGGGTAGGGATAAGTGCAGACAAGCCTGTTGTCGTTACAAGCAACCTTTTCATCTTAAACACTACCTTACTAATGGCATGCAGGGGCTGAGCAGGTGATGTCATTCAGTTGGTCTGTCTGCTCTGTCTTTTGCTCATGTGATGAACTATTTCCATTTTTAAAAGTCTAAATCCCCACTACCATGAGGTCAAACTGGTAACTCTGTAGCTTTAAATATAAATGACTGCAGAGTGCATGAAATTTTGGATGTCAGTGTCAGTTGGTCTATCATTTTCCTCCTGACTGAATATCTCAACAACCACAAACTTCCATGAAAACTGGAACACATATTAATGGTCCCCGCTGACCTTTACACTAGAGCCACCATTATCGAGTCAAAATTTAATTAGTCCAATAATACGGTTTATGACCTAAGTACACACTCACACAGTTGCTAACATGGCTGTACACCCAGTCTTGTTTGCATGTTCATGGCCAGCAGCTAATTCCAAATTATTCAGATTTTGTTCTGATCAAACCAAACTCTAAAAATACTAATTGCAATGAACTTTATTAAAAACCACTGACAGCCTAGTGTGTCTCTGCCTTTTTACCTGTTTACAAAGGAAAATAAGCCTCGGCTCTAGACAAATAATGGTCCAAATGATAATTACAGTAATGGACATAATGCAATGAAAGCTAAGGTGGACTTTCTTGCTCTCCAGAGGAAGCAAACCTTTGAATTTTTTTTTTTTAATCATGTGACTTTAGCACTATCCTGAGGCGAAACTTGATTTTTTTTTGACACCTTATCAGTAAGCTTGTCTTTCTCCTTATTTTACATAGCAGGGCAGTAGAGGTTTATGCTTATTCACTGAGAGGTGTTTCTAGATCAGACATGAAATCTACACTTATCATAAATTAAATAACCTCTGTACTGGAAAAGTGGAAAAGCGTGTACTGGAAACAATAAAATGACATCCACTGCGTAATGACCCCCTTTGCCAGCTCAGGAGAAAGCCACCCTGCTGGCCATTAGTCATTCCTGAAAATAAGCCTCGGCTCTATGCTACCCTGTGCCTCAGCCCATTAAATTACAATTAGCCTAAAACAAGTATCCAACTACAGCAAATGTAACCAACAGAATGGGTCACGCTGGAGCAACAGAAAGAACAGAAAACAAGGCCTAAACAACACAGCTATAAAAACATGGCTGCCTTTGTTTCAGAAGGCTGCAGGGTGAACAGAAAGCTCTGACAGAAGCTTGTGGCACAGGGATGACAATAGTGTTCTGTCT